CGAATCTCTCCTTCCTCGTGATCACCCTCGCCTCACCCTCCCGCCGCCTCGCTGCTCGCTCGCCGCTTGCTCGCCCGCCCGACTTTCTGCTTCCTCGTGATCCGAACCGCCACCACCCTCGCCTCGCCCTCCCGCCGCCTCGCCGCTCTCGCTCGCCGTTCGCCGTTCGCTCGCCCGCTCCCGACTTTCTACTTCCTCGTGATCCATCTCGCCGTTCGCTCGCTCGCTTGGCGCCCGACCTCCTACTTCCTCGTGATCCACCGCCGCCACCCTCGCCTCGCCCTCCCGCCGCCTAGCCGCTCGCTCGCCGCTCGCTCGCACGTTCGCGCTCGACCTTCTACTTCCTCGTGATCCACCGCCGCCACCCTCACCCCCGCCGCCTAGCCGCTCGCTCGCCGTTCGCTCCCCCGCTCGCGCCAGACCTTCTACCTCCTCGTGATCCACCCGCCGCCGCCCTCGCCTCGCCCTCCCGCCACCTAGCCGCTCGCTCGCTCCTATCCGTGCCACGCCTATCCGTGATCCTGCCGTTACCGCGCCGTCCTTGCTCCTCCCTGCCGTGCCGCTCCTTCCTCCGTGCCGCGCCGCCCTTCTTGCCGTTCAGCCCGCCGCCCCCCCTGCCGTCCGTTACCGCCGTGCCGCCGTACCGCCCACGCCGCCGCCGCCCTCCACCCCCTCCACACCGCCGCCACCGCTGCTCACGCCGCCGCCGCCCTCCACCTCGCCCACACCGCCGCTACCCTCCACCTTCTTCCCACCGCCGCCGCCGCCGCCCACGCCTCCGCCGCCTTCCATCTCGCCCACGCCTCCTCCGCCCTCCACCTCTCCCATGCCGCCCCCCGGCCCTCCACCTCGCCCACCCCTTTGCCACCACCCTCTATCGAGGCCGTCCCTCTCGCCCACATTTCGTCCACATCTCGGATAACCCCCCCCCCCCCTCTTCTCTACGCACGGGAAGTTAGGCTGTCCGTCTTCAACGGCAAATCCAGCTGCCCGAACGGGTTGCGCTCCTTCAACCTCACGATTGAGAGTTGTGAACAGCGCCTCTTC